TTGCAGAGCAGACAGCCAAAATGTTGTGCTAAACCGCAGTAATAATGAAATGCAATTTTGCACAACTTGCTACATAATTAAGTAACAGTAGCCATTATTCTGCAGGGTTGCCAGGTGTAATTCCTAAATTACCCTTACCTATTGTTGACAACTATAGAATTTTGGATTTTTGATCACTTTCTGTCTCAATGACAGTGGTCACCAAGACAAATAGAGAGTGAAAATCTCCAGGGTGGGAACAGAATGGCAATAAAAACTTGACAGGGGATCTAACTTTTCAATACTCTATCCAAAAATAAGAAGACAGTTTTGCCTTTGAAAACACTGTAATAATACTAAAATCTAATTTGTTTCTTGACTTTTTCTTAATTTGTTTCTTGATTCTTGACTGTAGTCTATTACTGTGAAAATTCAATTTTCAGTGCTGAATATACCATTCTTTAGTTTATTAAATGTGCCAAGTATCTAAAAAAATATATTATATATAAAAAAAGACTTTGCTGATGCTAGCAGTCCTTTCAACCTCTCTCCACTGCACCAAGCACAACCCATATGTCTTGTTTCTTCAAAAATATGTTGTTTCCAACCATCTATAAATTTAGATCAACATAGTGTATTTGTATTCTTTCTAAAACAATGAGAGGAGCTGATAATTTGAACCTGAGCTGTCAGAGGAGCTGGGTTGCTATGAGTAACTGGAGCTATTCTCTACTTTATTATCATGCATAACGTAGTTTCAAATAATTTCTCATTATCGTAGCTCAAGTAATAAAGCTATAATGGGCTGAATCATATTTCATAACTGGCAGTGAATGAAAAATACGTGTGATATGTCAAGGTCATTTTGAATTGTAACAAAACATTAGTAGTGAAAGATAATATTTCAATGCTTCTTTCACATAATGTTTTCATAAGTACATGTCTGTCATCAGTTTTCAAATGTCTCTGGATGAAGAAACGTACCCACGGATACTATGGCTGTCAACCCGATCCCTTTCAGCTTTTTAACTTTTTCCTGAATCCTGAACATAGAACCAATTTCCAGAACCATAATCCCCCCTCCACCAAACTTTACACTTGGCACAGTGCCAATGTCAGGCAAGTACCATTCTCATGGCAACTGCCAAACCCAGACACGTCCATCGGATTGCCAGACAGAGAAGCATGATTCGTCACTCCAGAGAACACGTCTCCACTTCTCTAGAGTACAGTGGCAGTGTGCTTTACACCACTGCATCCGACGCTTTGCATTGCACTTGGTGATGTACAGCTTGGATGCAGCTGCTCGGTCATGGAAACCCATTCCATGAAGCTCTCTACGCACTGTTGTGCCAATCTGAAGGCCACACGAAGTTTGGAGGTCTGTAGCTATTGACTCTGCAGACAGTTGGCGACTTCTGTGCAATTCAGCATGCGCTCTCCCCGATCTGTCATTTTGCGTGGCCTACCACTTTGTGGTGGAGTTCTTGTTGTTACCAGTTGTTTCCACTTTGTTATAATACCCCAGTTGACCGTGGAATATTTAGTAGTAAGGAAATTTCACGGAACACCTGAATCCAATGATTTGGAGTGGTGTCCCAATACTTTTGGCAATATAGTGTATATATATATACATCTATATATATATATATATATATAAGGTAGGTCCCCCTGTTGCCACCAAAACAACTCTGATCCATCACGGCATGACCTCCACTAGACTAGACCTCTGAAAGGATGCTGTGGTATCTGGTGCCAAGCCATCAGCAGCAGATCCTATAGGTCCTGTAGGTTACTAGGTGTGGCTTTTGAGTTTCGGATACGAATTACGAAATAATGGATATTACGAAACGGAACGAAACGAAACGGAACAAATTTTTTGACGGCGCACAAGTCTACCCAATATCAGTTAGTGATATGATAGTAATATTTCTATAGGAGTCCATTGGTTTCTACTTGGCTATAGTTCCTCCAACGTGGAGTGTTAAGTGTTCCTGTCCCTACTGTTGCATTATCCATAATATAAAATAAAGTAAAAATCCAAAGTGATAGTAGGACCCCTTTGTTATAGCAGCAGCAGATGTGCAAGCCTAGGACCTTAAGGACAGAGGAATTGTTACTGGATTTCCTGAATAATGTCATATCCTACTATACACTATTCATGCTAGATCGGCATCTCTGACATCACCAACTACTTCACTTCTGGTAGTGTCCCTCACAACAGCTCTGTCTTTAAACTTTCCAGTGTGGAAGATTAGCTGTTTTCAGGTTTGTACCTGTAAACTATGGAACCCCATAGCAAAAGACACTGCCATAAAAGAAAAAAAAAATGTTTTACTTAGTGATCTGCAGAACTCCATATTTAGCCCTCTGCCAGACCTGATCATACATACCCAATCAGGTGAATTCTGATATAACTTCAGGAGACTGGATTCCTGCAGTCAGTACCGGCCAAAAAAAGGGAAAGCATGCTTTGCTGTGTAGCCCTTCATGTCAGTAATATCCACTACACGACTCATGATGTTAAAGTTTGCACCAGCTAACTTCTCCCACCAAGCCCTGGCACCGCTGGGCCCTCTCCTAACCCCAGGCCCCATAGCAGCTGTTGATTAGGGCCTTGCTGACCTTTAGGTCTCCTATGTAGCAGCATGAATGAAAAAGGCAGTGAATGCATGGTTAACACCATAAATTACTTGTTTTTATTTTGTTTTCCTTATAAATCTGTAACGACGTGGTTCTGTACTAAAGCCTTACTACAGCTTGCCTTTGCTCAGATGCTTTGATATAAGCAGCTAACAAAGATTTTATTTCCCCAGTTACATTCATTAAACTGTTACAAAGATCCATTGCACACTGTATCGGTGCCCTCTGTTCTATAACAAGATATAAAGTCTCCTGCTGCTATTCAGTTAGAGAAGCGAGCAGTGGCTGTTCTATGTGTGCTCATTTTAGAATCTTCAGATCATTCTTCAGAATGTGTTCTAGAATATACAGTATTGTATCTCCTGTGCCCTATATGCTGTCAGTTGGAAAATGAATGTTCAGAGTAAAGTTGGAGTATCAAAAACTCCTCAAATGTCTTAAGGCATTAGAAAATGTGAAATTACTTTCTGCGTTATGCGGTCAGTGCCCCCAAGAGTGATATTTCTGTTCTGAGTGGACACCACAGCTTTACATTCTTTATAAATGTTTAACAAAGGACTCTGGTGGAAACATTTCTAAATCAGAGTTCCTTAGTCACCCCTTAGTGCTTAGTGCTGCGGCCATTGCAAGGGACATATTCTACTTCTTAGAAATTTCTTATTCTACATGATGTACAATTAAGCAGGAAGAGTGAGTCTACAGAGCAGTAAAAAGACTGTAATTCCACTGGGGAGATCTTGTCATTGAAGAGATACCAGAAGCCAGCTGGTGCCATCCAGTGTCCATCTGTAATTGAAATAGCAAAACCTGTCAAAACCACAACTGAACAAACTTTTCAGAAGCTCACTCTCCTCTACTGAGCACATGGTAAAAATATACATAAACAGACACTTACCTTCAGCAACAATCACATGTGAAATGTATACATTTTGACATTTCCTGAAAAAGTCTAGCTTGACTTGACTTCACCCCTTCTTGCCTGAAAAACCTCCTCATTGGCCAGTGAGAAAACACATCACAAGGACCGATAGAGAGGCTCAGGAAGTGAAATGGTGATTAGAACAACCTCAACTTTTGCTGAAAAAGTAAATATTCGTATACAATTTTTTTTCATCATGCTCTGGGTATATTTAGTTTTACATTTAGCACATAATATATTTCAGGAGCTTCTCAGAGGCAAAGGTACACTATGGGGTCTATTCACAAAGCTGCCGAGGACAGCCGAGTGAATGACCGATCAGAAGTGAAGATATGGCCAAAGGTTTTGGACACCTGACCATCACACCGATATGAGCTTGCTGGACATACCATTCCAAAAACATTAATATGGAGATGGCCTGCCACTTCAAGGCTTTAACAACCTCCACTCTTCTGGAAATGATTTCCACAAGATTTTGGGAATGTGTGCCCATTTAGCCATAGGGATACCTATTTATGTTGAATTAGAAGACCTGCCTCCTAGTCCCTGCTCCAATTAATTTGTTCAGTAGAGTTGAGGTCAGGCCTCTGTGCAGTCAACTTGAGTTCCTCCACACCAAAAACTCATTAAACTATGTCTTTACGTAGCTGTCTTTGCGCACAGGGGCACAGTCAGGCTGGCACTCTTAAGACACAGGTTGGAGGCCCACAATTGTCTAATGGAGGCCCACAGTTGTCTAATGGTATGCTGTAACGTTAACAGAACTCTTCGCTGGAAATACCTGAACTCAGTATGATGGAGGGGTGTCCACTTTTGGCCATATAGTATATTTAAAATAAAATTATACTATATACAGATTATGGGCTCTATTCACTAAGCTGCCGAAGGATCTAGCCGTAGCTGTGGCTGACCCTTCGGCTAGCTTCAGCCCGTACAGCTCCCGAAGTTGGCCGAGTGGCTCAGTCGAGCCGAACGCATATGCCTCGGTTTGACTGAGCTGAGGGGAAAGCCGAAGCTCGCCGAACGGCCGGCTATTGGCCGGCTATTGGCCGGCCGACAGCCTGCTTCTGACAGCTGGGTGGAGGCAGCCGTCATCTCACTAGGTAATCAGGGACTCCATCTGTCATTACACACTGAGAACCCGGCAGGGCCGCTATGATATCACAACGGCCTCTCCGGGTTCTCAGTGTGTAATGACAGATGGCTCCACCACAGAAAAATGTTGCCTCTGGAGTCTCCAAGAGATATAAAAAGATGCTGCACTGGCAAAGTAAGAACTGGTATCTGATTGGCTACATGTAAAGTAAAAAAGTGCTAGTACATTGACCATCACTTGACAGTAAAGGTGTACTGAAAACAATTTGCAAAAGTGGAATTAACCTTGAAATAAAGTATGAACTATAAATATATTCTTATTGATAAGGCGTCTAAAATGTATATCTCTCATTTGGTTTTGTAGCACCTTCATATGTGAGAGGCTGATTGGGAATTAGTGCAGGATGAGAAGATGGAACAGCCACATTTACCCCCACCAGGACCTGACAGCCTTCGCTTCTTCACCAGAGAATCTCTTGCTATTATCGAGAAGCGCGTTGCAGAAGAAAAAGCCAAAAAACCAGCAAAGGACCGCAGAGATGACGATGACGACAATGGACCCAAGCCGAACTCAGACTTGGAAGCAGGCAAAAGCTTGCCTTTTATATATGGAGACCTACCATCCGCAATGGTCTCGGAGCCAATGGAGGACCTTGACCCCTATTACGCCAACAAAAAGGTATGTGACTTGGTGGTCATTATCGCCTCAGCTTTACCTAAAAAAAGTCACCTTAAAGGGTTTTCAGCCTTTTATAAGAGTGTTAGTAAAACCCCCCTAGGGTGGTGGAATGTTGATTTTGTTTGTACTTTATTCTACTTTATTGTCTCCTTTGATGCTTTTGTATCTATCTGTTTTGAGCTGTAGCCTGAGCTATTATTTGGTTTTGTGTGCTTGGTGTAGGAAGCCGGATGTATGTAAATATATGCTTTTCATTGCAGCTTTGGAAAATGTTTTACCTGCCAAAGACTTGTAATTCTGTTAGGAAAGTATTGTGATTCACACATACCTGCCAACACAGCACTGCCAAGCTGGTGTAAGCAGTACTTTTGTGGTTATGCAGAGATGTGTGAATCTCCAAACTAAGCGTAATTACAAATCCCTTGTAACAGTTCATATATGTGGATATTAACAGTGTATACAGCTGATTTCCCAGAATTCCACTTTAAATCTAATACTGTATGTGTTCAGAAAACAAACAAAAAATATAATAAAAAATTAAAAGGAATGTATAGCTATACTGTCCACTGTAGTCACTGCCAAATGACACTTACTGAGAGCCGCAGTGCTAAGGGGTCAGGGGATGTATAGTCAAATTAAAGCAGGGTAAATTCCTGAATCAAGAAATGCCCCCGCGGGGGTGCTGCTTTTGCAAAAAGCGGTGGCAATCGCATGCATAGCACAAAGATTTTACGACTTTATAAATGTACATTTTAAAAATATTATATAGATAAAAAACACTGGATATGTGACAATTTTGCTCTCAGCCTCACCAAGTGCCAAGATTTTCCAGTTTGCAGGACAACAATCTAAGCACCAGCAGACTAAGAGTGATCGCCACTGGGGCAGTTGCACACACACAGACACACATGGTAGCCACCATGTGCTTTAACAGAAACATGCACGGTTCACCATGTCTGATGTTGAATTTCTGACCTTTAAAAAAATGTTTGTGTAACTAGCTGTCACACCCAAACAGGAATGTAACCAAGTTTCCACATTGGTAGCTCTTCACTGAGGCAAAGTTCTTTAATTTCTAAATAGATCATTCAGAGATTTCAAATGTCAATTTAATAAAAAAGAAAAACAGGGTAGTAAATATTTACAGAAAGATATTACAGAGCAGGCATACTGTTCCTAACAGTAAATTAAAAGGTTCTCACAGAAACAATTGCCGCACAAAAGACTGATATCATAAGCTAGATACTGTTTATTTCCGAAGTCAAAACATGCTGTAAACACACACAGGCTCCTCCAACTCTAACATGTTTCACCAAACGGCTTATTCACAGAGATCTCTGAAAATTAGCTGTACATTGACCAGCTGAAGTCGAAGTGCAGAAGCTGTATATCCAATATCTGGATGGGCTGAGCCGAATCTCCGGCAGTGCACTCGCTGCCGTTCACCGCTATTCTCATAGTGGCCGAATGCCGCCAAGCTCGGTTATTGTGCTTACTACCTCCGAAGTAGCGACCAGAATAAAAAAAATGCAAACAAAGGGGGAAAAAAGAAATATTTTTTTAAAATGTAAAAAAAAAAAAAGTAAAAAAAAAATGTAAAGGAAAGAAAAATAAAACAAACAGCTTGGGGTCCCTCTCTCAAACCATATAATATATATAATTTTAGGAGGGACCCCAATTTTTTGGAAAAAAGTGTGGGGGTTCCCACCAAAAAACAGAGCCGTGGTGGCTGGCTCTGCCATGTTGTTGTCATTTAATGACAGCCCTGCGTCCTCAGGTCATTTGAGGACACTGATCTGTCACTAAATTACAACAACTGGGTGGTGCCAGCCATGATGTCATGGCTGGCTTCGCCCAGTTGTTGTCATTCAATGACAGCCCGGTGTCCTCAAACAACCTGAGGTCGTTGGGCTGTCTTTGAATGAAAACAACTAGGCTTCGGCAGGCCGTTCTCCCCGCTTCAGCTGTGACTTTGAAGCATATGCGTTATAGTGAATAGCCCGTACAGCAGCCCTTCGGTTCAGCTGAACCGGAGGGCTCCCCTGTCCCAAGTGAGCTAAAGGATTAGGCGATGCTTCGGCTTAATCCTTTGGCTCCTTCATGAATAACCCTCTGTATAGATCTTATGAATTTTTCTCTTAGGAGGTCTAATGTTTCTTATTAGCCTTCTGGACCATGTAACAAAGGCTTGCTTGAGATTGTATGTAACTTCATTTTGTGCATTTCAGCTGTAGCTCAGTATAGAGAAAAAGAACCCTAACATCACAGATGTGTATACCTCAGCTGCTCTGCACACGATTTATGGCTGATCATTTTTGCTTATTAGAAGTCTTTTTGAAGACCCTGCTAGTGGAGGTTCATGACATCTCTACATTCGTTCTTAGCTGGCTTGTGTTACGTTCATTGTGTCTTAAGCTCTTTTAAGCATAGCTGCTGAAGTACAGACATCAGATCTGAATCTAACCATGTTTGTTACCGATTTGTGAATTTTGGAATAAGTGAGGGTGGGATGGGGTTCAGTACTACTCCCCTATTCTTATTACCTTATTCTTATGGCTTAGGGTTTGTGATACGTTGCTATCTTCACAGGATCCTTCTAATACAGATTGCATGTATTATTTTTTTCTAGAGGTTTGGTTATCCTTTAGGTCTGTACTCAAATGTCAGTTCAAATATGTACGCAATATATAAATGGTATTGCTACAATGGATTTGGCATAGTTCATATCATGTGCACAGATGTGGACTAGTATGCTGTAGAAATGCCAGGGCAGGGTAGTGTACTACCAATCCCCTATTGGTGGAGAGATGTGCCCATCTCTTTTGGCAGCTATTTATCTTTAGGCTGTGCAACCAGAGGCAGCTATGTAATTTTGAATGTATGAAGGAGACAGGCTTAAAGACTAAATATGTCTTTAGTCAAAACATATTTCTTAATTTTGGATGGAGTGGCAAAGACTTAAAACCCTTGTCAGGTTTTTATCGCTGTCTGTGTTCCCAATGGGGACATTCCCCTCTCTATTTGTCCTTGTGACCAAGGTCACCGGGACAAAAAAGTGAGAGTAAATCCAAACTTTTACAGTTGTCACCAAAACAAAAAAGAGAGTATGGACACTTATTTTGCTGACTTTACCCTTTCCTTGAAGAGATTTCCTAATAATTCCTGTTGGTTCTCTGCAGCAGGAAGTGAAGGTAAAAAGCAAAAAAAAAAGAAAGAAAAAACTCACAGAGGATCTCACCTTTTATTTAATGTATCCAAAATGTAAACACAAAAATTTGGCTAGAGATAAATCTTAAAGTTGGTCACATATTCCTTCCTTGAAATCCTTACATTGTCATCAGACCTCCATGTGAGCTCCTACAGTTGGCTATTGGAATGCCTATCATTTCTATCAGATAAGCTGCCCAAAAGCCAACTTGAAGGAGCTTGCATGGCAGGCTGCTACTAATTGTGAGGCAGTGGCTTAGTGTTGCCAGCCTGCACCAGGAAGTGCTATTACTGACAGGATCTCCAAGTAAGAAACTTTGCAACAGATTAATGAAACATTTCTGAAAGTGACCCTGTTACCACAAGGTCACTTATGAATCAAGACCAGCCCTATAACGGAAGACTTGATAAACTTATCTTTCTGGTGGACCATGTCTTGAAAAGCAGCCACTTCACTGCTCTCCAGCCGCACAGGTATTTGACCAGTCACTTGGGTCAAATGCATGTTTCCCTTGCTATATGTAGTGATGTTTGTGCAGACCGGAGAAACCATTGTCAACAGCAGGAGGACCAGGTATTCAACCCATCTGCCTGGTTGAAAACCTGCTGTGGCTAGAGAGCAATGGTGGCGTTATCAGACACGGGCCATCGGAAATCTAAATATAATATACGGGCTGGTCTTCTGTTTAAGTGGCCCTGTTTAAGTGGCAGGCATAGGCATGGACCAAGGCTGTGGCGGACATTTTCCAAAGTACAGACCTTAGTGAAGGACACCAAGGTACATTTCAGCAGTGCTGTCCTCTGCAAAGGCTTCCCCCCCACCTCAAAGGCCCTTATTCAACCTTGGGCACTAGCTGCTTGCTACTACTGGCTGCTGTGCTGTCCTCTGCAGAATGTCCCCCCCCACCCCAGCGTCGGGCACCAAGTGTGGTATTCTATTGCTTGTGCACATTTTTTTTAATAAAGGAAGAGGGAGTGGCAAAGCTAAATATAGCACAGCAGCCAGTAGCAGCAAGCAGCTGGTGCCCAAGGCTGAATAGGGGCTCGACGCTGAGGTGGTGGGGGGGGGGGACCTTTGAAAGAGGACCGCAGTGCAGTCCTCTGCAAAGGCTTCCCCCAACCCCAGCGTCGGGCCCCTATTCAGCCTTAGGCACCAGCTGCTTGCTGCTATTGTGCAGATCTCTGCAGAATGCTCCCCCCACCACCCCAGCATTAGACACCAAGACTCTGCACCCAAACCTGGCACCCAGACTCAGCACCCTAGGCTCAGAACTCAGACTCAGCACCCAGACCTTTGCTAGCTTACCTTTAACCACTTCACCACTTCAGCAGCAGCCTCCGCCGCTCCCGCCTTGCTCTTCTTCACTTCTGCCCGCTAAAAAAAGAAGCACCGCCCCCGAAAAAGAGAAAAAAAGCCTTCCTGCACGTGAACAGGAAGGTACCAAATACTGCAATTGTACAGAGAGCTGGGAACGTACCAAGGTCATTCCAAATGTACTGTACAGCCGTGGTGGACCCTGCAAGGTCACTGGGTAATAGGGTCACGAGAAAAGAGAGAAAAGTGTATACTGTAAGGTATGATGCCACACATGCCGAAAACAGATTTTAAGTTCATACATACAATAAAAGATTTCTATCCAATCAAATCATTTATGCAGATTTAACTACCTACTTCTGGCTATTAGATTCTGCGCCATGTCAGTGGACTTTCTGAAATCTTTCCAAATGACTTGTAAAAGTGAAGCCTGTCTTGACACTAGTTGCATGATCAGTCCCAGAGCTGCAAGAAGGAA